TACGTAGACGACTAGGTCTGATCTTAGAGTAAGCATCGATTTTCAGGGAAAGAGCATTTTCAATCCCTATACGCACCTGAGAAGTTCATCACAGCACTACTCCAACTAATAGCTACCCGTCAACCGCCTGCCTAGCTCGATCGCCCATGAGTTCCAGGCTCCAAGTGTCGGGGGGACGGCGCTGACGGTCACGCATGGTCTGTACGGAGCAGTGGGTAAATATCAACAAAATGGTCAAACTGGATGGAGGATGAGCTATGGAAGTTTAATTCCAGGCTATGAAACTCAGCTTCACCATGAAGACGGCCACCATCGAATCCACATGAGATGCTCGCGGCTTGTCGACACTTAGGCTTTAGCCTTTATCTTTACGACATAGTGCATCGTGGCACTATAAGTGACACTATAAAGGACTTCCAGAGTTGAGACAACTAAACGTGAGTGAGCGAGAGTCTGCTTGACGTCGTCAGGGTCCAAAGATCTCCTTCTTCCCCTGAAACGTACTCTAGCCCGGGATATTAATCACCTAGCCTCGGGCCGGGGGAAGCCTTACGAGCCCCCCACAAACGGCCTCCAGTACTTTCCAAAGGAACCCCCGATTCTGTCCGATATTCTCTAATGACCTCTGAATTTTGTGAACATCCCTGGCTCTTACAGAGAACTCAAGGCAGGGAGTGTCTCTTTCGCCTTTGAGATACAAATTTTCTTCTAGCTGCAGTATGAACCTCAAGCTCTCCCCCCCCTGCGATATCCTCAGAAAACCCATCATTAACCCAAATGGACGGCATCCACAGACAGCACACGTTCCTCGAGAAACACCACCGTCAAAAAGACCGTTGTAAAACTAAACAACCCAAAAAGGCGCCACACCGTTGGCGCTTACGGCCGTAGACTCCTGTCCGTGTGGGCGCGCAAAGTTTAAAGGTTGCGAGTGCGACGACGCCGTCGAACTCGAGAGGACGCTAAACTCTGGCCTGATGGCAGCATATTGGTCAGTGAACGAAAGGGAAAAAGAGTCTGCCCAAAACCCAAACTTGTGAGCCACTTAGCTCGACTAAAGGTACTCTTAGACTCTTCCCTGGTCCCAAGCTAACAACGGAAAATTATCTCGTTAGCTTGCCTAACGGGTATCTCCGTCAGATCGGGCAGGTTGTCATGGCGCGCGCGCGCGCTTGCAAGACTTCCCTTTCGCTGCCTTTTCCATAGTCGGCGATTCTTGCTCTCGCCTTCCCGAGTCTGTAGGTATGTGACCTCGGACCGGCGGCTGCTGACAACAAGTCAAAATCGTTCAGCAGGGCTTGTGCACATTGAAACCTGGTATCATATTCGATCATTAATAAGACAGTACATGCGTCAATCTCCCCAACTACCCCGGCAATGCCCCTTTTCCCAAACCTTGACCACCAAACCCCTATTTCTCAAAGCCCGGCCAATACACTCTGGATGCCAACGCTATTGGCATCGTCGCGACGCTGCACAAATGCCTTGAAGTCGGCCTTGGTAAGCTTCTTGCCCTGGCCAGAGGGGCCCGCCGCGAGCGTGCGAGACTTTTCCCTTAGGGCCTCGGGTCCGACAATGAAGAGGGAGCCAATATCAGTGAGAAGCTCGGCCGAGGTTTCGACATCCGGTGCGAGCGACCACTCCTTGAGAGTGGAAGAGTACTTGGACAGATCCTGCGCGACCATGAGTCCGCCCGTAGCATTGACCTGGAACTTTTTGAAGTGGTCAAAGAGCAGAGCCAGGACAGCGAGTGCGACCTCGGAGCTCCAGACCTCCAAGTTCTGGCCGTCCACAGCCTGGGCGGCGTGCTTGGAGACCCGGGAGAGGAACTGGCTCATTTGTAAGCACGTGGGTGTCTGAAGCGAATCCAGATCTGCGTCGCGAGGACGGAAGTCAAACTTCTTCTGACTAGAGAGAGAGCGCGTGACCCAGTTGGTAACGACGTCGATGGAGCTGCGCATTACGGCGTTGGTCTTACGCTCAATGCCGTCAATGGCGGATTTTGTCTGCGTGGACATGCTGCGGCGGACTGTCGTGTTGGATTCGGCCAGTTTGATAAGCACAGTAGTAATGAAGCGTTCCATGATGCTAGTGATGGTCACCGCAGGACGGATCGAAGGGAGGTAGCTCAGGTCAGGTTCCGACTTGATATTTTCCTGAGAAGTCGCCTGGTCGAGGGCGGCGTCCAGAGCCGTCTCCACATAGACGCGACCCATTGTTGTGAGTAAAAGGTTTAGGAGAACGTTGACGTCCTTTGGTGTATCGGCGGGGGAACCGAGTTCGAGGGTTCTCCGGACGGATTCCGCGAGCCACTTCATCATTCTCTTGGCGTTTGCTATACTCAGGATACCGTCTTCTTCTGACACCTCAACGTCGTTCTTGTTGTCGTTATTGTCTTGTATTCCTGCGACACGAAGCATCATAGCCTTCTGAGTGGCTGTCAACTCAGAGGAGTCGAGGCGCTCGAGATATGCATCCTTGGCCGACGACAGCATCTGCGAACTCTGTTGTGCAAGTGAGGCCATGAAGCCGGTCGGTGCCTTCTTTCTCTTGGAGTGGTACGTTGTGAATTTGAAGAGCAATGAGTTGTACGTTTCCTCGAGACTCTTTCTCTCTCGGTCGATGTACGAGTTACCAACAAGGTAGGGAACGAAAAGTTCCTCCATCTGCTGGTCCAGTGTCTGGGAGATTTGAGGGGAAGCCGGTTCTGGATGTTCGGTAAGGCCGTGTGATTTGAGGTCTTCGATCAAAGAACTGATGTATGTCCTCGATGAGTGCAGCGATCTGAGGAACGCCAAGGAAGAGATTTCGTTGGCCTTGTCGAGCACCATCTCGAGCCTTTGTTGAACGGACTGCTGGAACACGCGCTGAATGAATTTGATCAAAACAGTCTCGTAAAAGGGGAAGGCGCGCTTGATGATGAAGGACTCCTCTTGCATGACGAGTTTGACCTCGTCGACAAGAGATTGCAGGCTGGCTTCGACGCCAGGTGGTTCAGAATCGGGATCTGCAATCTGTTCCCATGTGTCGCCGTCCAACATGACTTCATCCGAAATCAATTGGTCTCTGTCGATGAAGAACTGGTGCTGATTTACAAAGGTCGCAATGACGCTGGAGCCGCCGTTAAAGTCGTATAGGACCTTGGAGCACTCCATCATGTCGTCGAAGTTTTGGCGTCGGTAACTGCTGTTGAACTGCTTGAGGAGCTCCTGCTCCAAAGACTCGGAGAACTTCTCGAGTAGTTCTCTCGTGTTGTGCACGCGATTAGTTCCCGTGACGCCGTTCGTAACGCCGTTTCCTCGGAACCCGTTTGTACCATTCGTCTGACCCCAAGAGGTCGGGTCTAGCCGCTGACTGATGCGCATGAGCTGTCGGGAGATTACCGCGCATCGGACCTTGTTCTCTGCTCCTCCCTGCCTCTGGATCTCCTCTAATGACGTGAGCTGGCCCGTCTCACTAACCTCGATCCAGCATTGAATGAGGAAGTTGGCATCCTGGGCTCGCCTCCGTTTTCTGTCCAGCTCTTCCAGCTTCTCTCCAATCTGCACAGCAATATTACCGCCTGCTTCTTGTCTCGCACTTCTGTCGCCGTTCGTGGCGGATTGGTTCAATGATAGATCGAGTGCTTCGAAGGAGGCCATGGACTGGTCGAGCTTTCGACCGAGGGTATCGAGTGTTTGATCATGCTGGGCTTCGGCCCTTCGTACGTTGGACTGGAGTTCCGATTCCTTCTCCTGGAGTTCTTCGGACAACGATCCAAGCTGCGACAGCGCATCTGTAGAGAGGGGTTAGTCAGGAAGGCGCGAGACGAAGAAGGGAACGAAGCTGCCATACTCTCAAAGGTGCGAATGAGTGGCTTGGGGTCAAAGGCGGGTTGCGATGGACCTGATCGGCGGTTCGCAGGTACAGCATTCTCGGCAAGAGTGTCAACGAATTCGCGGACCACGAAGTCCTGGTTCGAGAAGTCCTCGAGGGTGAAGCTGGGCCCTTGAGGGAACAGGGACTTGGCCCCAGAGGGGGCCCGTTCCATGTCGGCGGTCGGGCAGGAAGCGAGGTTACTTTTGCAGATTCAATTGAATGGCAATCTGCTACATGGCTCTGGAGTATGGCTATCGTGTAATCGGATTGTCGTCTGCAGCTTGTCGCCCAATGTGTGGTATCGTGGTCGAGGTTGTGTGTTTCGGGAGCACGGGTATCCGCGTTGCTGCTCCCAGCGAGTGACGAACTGTCTGTCCCTTGCTTGAGCTTGGACCACTACAAGTCACTGCCCCGCCTTTGTTGGTCTGTGTGTACTTGATCTCGATTGTATCACGTGATGAGACACACCACTAGCAACGGTGATCATCAAGGGTCCGTTCTGTAGATATTCAAATGAGCAATTCAACGAGACTGTCCAGGCTAGTTCCTCCCACCGGGCTATTAGGCACATCTATGGACGGATCCCGAGGCAGAGAAAACATGCCTAGTATGAACATCAATTTTCGATATCATGGGAAGCCTATGCCTCCTTTAACACAGGACCTCAATCAATGGCAAGCTGGTAAACATCTAAGTTGCCTGCTTCGGCTATCGTGACTCTGGTCGGAGACTTTGATGTGCTCTTCCAGGGTCTTACAGTAGCTTAAAATCCTCAAAAGAGACACTGCTCACCAAGTGTTGTCAAATAATCGCCGTCTCAAGATGCCTTGGTGCGAGACCCTTTGATAGCTTGAAATACTCATCGTCGCTGGTCAACACTCTGTCGTCCTCAAGAGGCTCAGAGGCAACTATCAAAATACAGATGCGATGTTCCTGCGCGCAACGTTGCGCTCTATTTGCCTGCCAAGAAAGCAACGGGCAGACATAGGCAGCAGGTGGGGCCCTGTCTAATAGTTCGCCTTTAGTCTCATCGCATAGACGTATAAGTCTTCCACGACGTCTTCACATCCTTAACTTCGACAGCATCACCTTCTTTCTTCCTCATTTCACATACACAATCTGAGCCTCACTCTCCAGCCGCCATGGCCATGAAACACAAACCAGCCGAGAGGACAGACCGCCTGAGTCTCCTGCCAGCAGAGCTCCTCAGAGACATCATCGAGTATGTAGACGTCGCTTCCCACCTAAACTTTGCCTGCACCTGCAAGAAGATCGCCAAGTGTTCAGCCGGCGTTCTTCGCCATCACAGAGAAATCCATAATCAGTACGGCGTCATCTCAGACCTCCAGCCGGCAACTATACCCACATTATTGCGCAATGTTCTCATGCACAAGGACCCGTGGATCACATGGCACATACGTTCACTAGAAATATGGGGTAGCCGAAGATTTTGGGAAGACTGGCGGCCGTTCAACCTCGTCTTGCTTTGGCCGCGAGAACGTTTTGACGAACATGCGCAGCCGTTGGAGTGGCCGTTGGAAGACAAGGAGCGGGGGGAGTACATGCGGCTTTTTAAAGATATATTTCATCCGGATTTCGACGATACGTGTTTGGCCGAACAACAACTCGACGAGGGTAACGATGGCATCCTCAAAATCTTACTTATGGCTCTATGCCCTCACCTGAGTAGTGTGAAATACATCCTGTGCGACGAGGGCACCAGGTGAGCTTGAACCTTGGATCTGCATATAGCTATATTCTAACGCACCTGGCCTAGAGATGATAGCCTGAAATGGCTCACTTCGCTCATCGAAAGGAGTCAACTTATCGGATCCTGGGCACCAGGGCTACGCGCTCTTCGTGAGGTCTCCATCGGAGTGCGCTCCGGAACTTGGCTAGACTGCGATTATGGAATCTATCATCGCCCCGATCTCCTAGCAAATGTGCTCATGCTCCCCAGCATCGATACCGTCTACTTCCACGGCCTCTACGATTGGGATGGCGATCGTATCAATGACTTGGTCCGCGGCCTGTCACGCGGCTGCTCAAGCGTACAGCACCTATTCATCGATGGGGCAGGGTTTTTGAGTGCAGGGTTCTGCTCAGCCCTTCTCAACGCCCCTCGCTCCCTCAAAACCCTCTGCCTCCGCGGCAACGTTAGACGTGATCAGGACTTCTGGGACGAAATTGACAGATTCCTGCTCAGTGCCCGCAACGCCCAGGCTGAATCTCTTGAAAGCTTCATGCTGTACGGAGCGTGGGGGATGCAAACTGCTCGCAAATCCGGCTGTGAGCTGTATCACCTCCATTTGCTCGAACTCAACACATTTCCACACCTCCGGCACGTCTGGCTCGACAACGCCGACCTTCTCAAGCAGGCGGACAGCTACGACATGTACACGATACCACAGCTATGGCAAACTCCCGCTGAAGCAGCGCTCGAGTGGATTATCTCCCGCCTCCCTGCGGCGATGGAGGTTCTCTTCCTGGGTAACTCGGCGGAGCAAAGTGACCCAGAAAAGACAGAGAATCTCCTCATCGGCCTTCTCAAGTCGGACAGGTTCCCAAAGTTCAAGGCACTTTTCATCGAGGACGACGTGGTCCGACGAGACCGGTGCGACCGGGCGCGTTGCTCCAAGCATAAGCCGCCCAACAACCTTTGCTTCCAGCGCCTCATAGCCGTTGGTGAGAAGCGCGGGGTCGACGTGAATTGTACGGCTAGCGGGCCCAAGAAGAGGATTCACGACGACAAGGATATCGGGTTTCCTGCTGGCCCGCAATACGCGGCCGGGCTGAAGTCTTTGCCCCTAGACCCCTCAATCGATGGTTCCGGCGCGCGAGAGTTCAATGTGTTTGATGGTCAGTGGCAGCTCAAGGGGTGCGGTAACTGTGGCGAGTGCGAGAAGTGTTTCCAAGCGTACTCTGAAGAGAGTTGGAAGACGAGAGGGAAAGGGATCGAGACATGAATGAAAGACTGAACTACATGCTCAAATATGTTGTCTCTCAATCATCTATCCTTGGGTGTGTAATCATGGTCTTCGTTCTTTCACTTCATCTTTCCTAAGTCACGCCGTCTCACGACGTAGTAGGTATATAGAGCCGCCCCCGGTTGCTGAATTGAGTGTGTTGCATTGCGCCAATGCCATCCATGGGCTGTTCGATGAACTTCTACAGAGATGATTAGTTCTCATCGTATCTCAACATAGCCCTTACACACGTCAATACGCTCTACATTTTGCCCCTGGCCACTTAGCTTAGCCGTCTTTTGTATATTCCATTAAGAAAAGGGCTCTGGAGCGTTCAGAAAGGGTGTCCGTCTGAGTTTGGTTGTATATGGCACTAGCTTCTTCCTGAGCATTATGAAAATGACCTAATGGTTCCAAGGTACTGTCTCCGCGGATTCCACATCTATCTGGCCCCAAGTTAACGCCAAAGGTATCATTGCCTGCTCAATTAATTTTTCTCAACTTACCATACCATATACTTACCATACCATATTTGTATCCTTTAGTATAGTCACAGAATCTCGCTTCTCTCGTGCCTTTGTTCCCAAAGGCTTACGCGTTGAACATGGATACATATGCTTACCTACTTCGGGTTCTTCCCTACACACATAGACTTCCTCGAACAAAAAGATGTCACACTACAAGAACTCCTGGGAGACTTGCCAAGACCAAAATCACAGTAAACGTAGCTTGTGCGGACTGGAGTACGGCGCCTATGTTGGACCGAAAAGTACCATCACCTCATCCGAAGCTTCCTGTAAGCGACATACAGTATTCGCTACCTAAGGTAGGTAAAACACGTGAACGAGGGTTCGTATGGCTAACATCCAGTACCTATCCCTAATTATGCGTTCCTACCAACTTCGCCGTACTCATCGCCACGTCAGCGCCCCCCTCCCTGGCCAAGGTGACAGCAAACTTTGGTACTAATGATGTTAGGATTCATCTTGGAAACCCAGAGGCATCATTTATCCCCAGTCATACAACATCTTGCTGAAAGGGAACCGCTGGCTCATTGACATTATATGAGAAGCAACAAACGTTTTTGCGGTTCAGGTTTGTCGACTTATATTAGATTTTGAAGAGAAAATGTCAATCATGTCTCCATCATAGAAGGTAAGGATTATTTCCCCTCGCAAACGGAGACCTATAGGCTCCTTCGTGGACTGTGCAATAGAAAGACCGTATAGATGCTGCTGTTGTCCAACGTTAACTTTGCTACGTGGTCAGTAGCTCTGGAACAGTCACGGACTATCTGCAGAGGTAGACGCGTTTGGAGGGAACCTTGGTTGAGCTTTAGGGTAACATCGGTATAAGTCAGAATGCAAAAAAGGTGGCATGTGCCTTTACGATGGCAGCGGCCGTCAGTCTCGCAGCCATAGAGTTGGCACAAGGTACAGTGCAGAAGAGTAGCCCTCGCCCACCCTGAGAGGTAAGCCTATGAGACTCCGGCAGCCCTTCAATAATTCATCTACGGATAGTTGCAAAAATCATGAGGCGGATTACGCTTGGGTCAAGGCTTGTCACGCCAAGCTTAAGCCTCTCTAGGTTTCGCAACCCCGTGGGCCGTTTGCAATGCTAAGTCGCGGAACGTAAACCTGGCCAACCTCGCCAAGCTTGATACCCACCTGGATAGGAACTCTAACGATGGCTTCCCGTGTGGTTTGAGCCGCAAGCGTGCTAGAGTCCCCGGGGTTTGACTGACGCGGCTAGCTATCAATCGCCATCAGCCGAGTCGGATATGTCTCCAGACTGTATAAGACAGGTTTCGGTGCCGAAAAGCTTCAACGGAGGGGCAGCATCCCCACCGGAGGAGGCACGGCCTTGACCGGACGGACCTCTTGACCGCAGTAGACAATTGCGCAAGTTTCCCTCAACGACATGCCAATGCAACGTACTTGGACCACTCCCCAACAGTGACTCAGCCGAGACGACGGAAAGAAAAATCTGTCGAGGTCCATTGTAAACATGGCGAAAGCCAGACCGTGCGGATCGGCTCAGCCCTGCGAAGACGACGCAACCGGAGTCGTCAGCGCGGCCGGTGGTTAAGGTAGCATTCTGCCTCTTTCTCACAAAACCCGAGCTCCGACGGCGGGGACGATGTTGGCCGAGTCGCGCCGGAGTGTGGGGATGGCACTGCAATGTTGATCCAAGATTGGAATGGTTCCAGGTTCCACGGCCAGCACCACAACGCGGTCCCTGAAAAAACAGGAGCCCCCCCTTTTGAGTGTGAAAAATGAAAAGGGTCACCCCTTGTTCCCATCCACTTTTGCGGAGTGAGGTGAGGATCCAGAAATGCGGCGCCGCATTGGAAGATTTGGAGATGAAGTGATCGGGTGTCAAGTCGGATTTGGGGGCTCATACCCGGAGCCTCATCAAATGCGGCCAACACGCCACATCGCGTTGTGGTACTTTTTTGAGGCACGACTCGTTGACTTGTCTAGTATGAGCACCAGGCGTCAGCTGCCGGCAAGATTCGTTCTAAAAACGTAGGTAAGACGAGATGAAGGGCAACAGAGTTGACCGCCGCCGCGGGAAGCAATAGGGAGCGAAAATGGACGCAAAATATCCGTACTGTATAGGACGAAAGGGGTGGCTCGGAAGTCACAAGAATGCTGGGATCGGCACTAGATCAAGTCGCGAAGATGTATTTTCTAGATCGACATGAATGGAAAAAAAAACAAAAAAAAAAAGGCGTGGACCGGCAGACTAGGCTTGTAGACGGTGAGAGGTGCGTTGTTCTGTCTCGGCCTCTCGGAAGGGCTTAGCTAGCCGTCAGCTGGTGAGAGCACGTTGCCAAATGGCGAGATCTGAACGGGCTGGTCGTCCTCTTCTCTTTGCTTCCCTTTGTGCCTTTCTCGACTTCCAAGAAGGGTGTAAAGGTGGCTGTGCTGGGTCCGGCTGTGAGAGACGAGGCGGGCAAGCGCGGCGGGCAGGTGGGAGGATGAGCCGAAAGCGGGTTGATGTACCGCGACCTCGGGCTGGAGTGGACCGCTGGAATGCAATGGGTGTGGACTGTGGATGAGATGATGCGTGGGACGGGGCGCAACTGGGGAAGGGAGGCGCCGCGAAGCTATTTTTACCCAAAGCTTCTTGTGATTGTTTCTTAGGGTGGTCGTTGGTTGTTGTTTTTTGAATGTGGGTGGGACGAAGCCTTCTTTGTGCACTTTGTACGTGTATCCGTAGGGTGCTAGAGTTCGCCTTCCCTTCCAGAGCCGTCCTGCTGGGAAGGCCAAAACCTTGTGTCCGGATCGAGTAGGTAGACTTGTGGGAGTTGCACTGTCGCACACGAGGTCTGACGGGACGCCGCGTATACGGTTCTTCTCTTTGTCGGGCCACCCGCTGGCCTCGACGGCTTTCGTGTTCGATGGCTTGGGCAAGGGGGTCGGTGATGAGTGAAAGCCGTCCGGCAAATTGACCGGGCCCGGCCTGTTCGGTCCACGCTGCTATCTTGGTTATGATTATTACTCCATACTGTAGTTGCTGTCAGTCAAGAATGGTTGGTTAGGTAGATGGACCAACGGCAAAGTTGCGCCGAACGCTAGCGAATGGCGAACGAGAAAAAACGATGCAGGATGATCCGTGAGAAAAGGAAGGGAGGGAGGGTGCAAAGTGCACGTTGCTGCAGGAACTGAGCTGCAAACAGATGCGATGATCGAGAGGGCGTAATCACAATGTTGAGAGATGAGATCCAGGTCAGCTGGATCAGACGGAAGAGCAAGATCGGCACCACGCCATCCAATGGTTGAGTGTCAAAGCACGTAAAGGGTATTGTATATGCAGCATGATACATCGAGAAGAAAAGCCTCGAATCTCAAGTGAGAAACCGGATGATGAAAGACGCTGAACAACCTGCCTTCAGCCAGGCGCGATGTGTTGTTGAATTCCCATCACGTCACCAGGAGTGCAGCTGCCGATATTGGATGATGGTGAAAAGGTATCTTAGGCGTCGGGTGGCGAACATGTTCCTTCCTGGAATCTCAGTGCTGGGAAAGGAAGGATGAGGGAAGCGGGACGAAAGCCAATTGTACGTACCGTTGATGAGACGGAAGGAACCATCAAAAGGTCAGACGTGGCAGGACCCGGGCTGACCTCTGCCTTCCCGCTCAAAATGTACGTCAGGCTTAGAAGAGAAGGCGCCAGATGCAAAGTGGCAGTTTCCAACTTCCAACCTCCAAGTCGACTCATACAGCTGCTTTTCAGTTTCCAAATCACCAATTCAATTATCCTCAGACATGGATGAAAGAACCATGTTCAATTTGACCTCAGCTGGGAAGAAACAACCCCGCGGCACGCCTTACCGCCAGCTTGCCTAGACTGCCCTGCCAACCAGCTGTCTGACGTCCCTCAATCAAATAGATAGGCATTAGCTCGCTGTGGTGAGATCTGGAGTACATGATGTTCCAGAGGGAGAAGAAATATCTGTCTGACCCTCAGCCTGGCATTCTCGGCTTTACAGCACCTTGCCCTCCAAACAAGCAAAGCACGAGCTCGGTTGGATTGTTTCTTGATCTTGCCCTCCCCCTGAATCTCTCGAACATGGCAGACGGTTAATGGTGATCCAGGTATCCGTAGGCTTACAGACGCCAATGAGCCATTTGCTTGGGTCCAATAAGCCAATAGAGCCGCTGTCCGGGGGTCATCCAAGCCCAGTGGCATTAGCATTGGGATTGAGGGGAAAGTTTCAAGTACATGCCCCGTCACCAGCAGCAACTAAGAATAAGCAAAGTTGTGGAAGAAAGGCTAGGAACACCAAGAACATGAACAACCACCATTTACCGTTCTACCTATTCTCGAAGGTTTTGCTTCACATTTACATTGAAGCATGAGTATAGCGAAACAAAAGCCAGCACAACAGACACACAAAGCACGAGAAAATAGACTTCGTTTCGTACGCCGCAAAGCACGCGTCCATTCGGCAGTCCGGGCATTTCATTGCAACGGTACGCGACGCCTGGGAA